TAATGTAATTTATACTAGATCTTGCCTATGGATTTTTGGGATAAAATTGCAAAGCAATCCATTGTTCTGAAGGAATTAAAAATTCTTCGATTAAATTTTCATTCTTTTTTTGATTTAATCTTGAAACTATAGTATCCTTTAAATCTCGAATAGATATAAAAAGTGGCATATAAAGTGTAATTCCATGACATCGATCATGAACTGCTGGTGTATTCTAAAATATACTTGTATTTAAAATTTATTTAAAATTTTTAAAACTAAACTATATGCCAAAAATTTAAAACCAACCTCTTCAAAATATACTGCAATTTCTTTCCAAAATATATCAAACTTTGTACCTTTAAACCCATTATTAATTCGAAGATCAATAACAATTTCTGGATCACCTAATTCTAATATAAGTTTAAGTCGTTCATCTATTTGCTTTATTTTTTCAGTTTCACTACTACTAGAGTCACCAGTTAAATCACAATATAATAATCGTAAAACATATGGTGTAATTCTGGTTAAAAGTGAATACTATAAATTATATATGATTTAGCTATAATATTTAATTAATTTAAAAATTATATAAATTTAATAGAAAATTTTTATTTGTATATAGGTGTTATATACACAGATATTAATTAATTGATTTACAAATTTGTATAATATACAAATTGTAAATCAAAAATTAAGGTTAAACTAGCTTTAGAGTTAAAAAAGCTAGTTGTAGTTTGCGCTAAAATTTTGTAAAGAATATTTTTTGTAAGAGCATCAAAAGCTGTTACATAATCAGAATTTTGAAATATTAATATACCTGTGTTTTTATATACTAATGTTCAAATAGAAATTGTTAATTTAATATACCTTTTTAAATATATTTTTTCTCATTTCTCGTATAAAATAATGTGGAAGTTTGTTTTGAATTTCAATTATTGTTTTAGCCTGTAAATCGTCTGACCTTTCATTAGAATCTAGAGGAACATGCCATATAAAATTTAAAGTACCAAGATAGTTGCTATGATAGTATCAATAAAGCATAATTGTTGTATCTAGTTGTAAATTTTTAATAAAAGTATATCATTCATGTTTATTTTGTGGCAAATATTTATCAAGCAACACTACTTTATAATCATCTGTATTGCGCATTTTGGTGGCTAGTAGGTTATAACATTCTTTAATATCTTGTCTAAAATATTCTATATGAATTTTAATATTACTATTGTCTACTGGATTACGTGCAGGTTGCATAGCACTACAAATTGTACTAACACTTTTGCTAACTTGTTCAAGATATCCTATATATTTTTGAACACATGAAATTAGCATAAAAACTTCTTTTATAAATTAATCCCATAAATTGTTTCCTGCCCATGGTTGAACTATGCATTTTTCAATATTTTCTACCAATAATTCAAGATTAGAACGTTGTAAAACTCCTTTATATACACAATTTCAACAACAAGGCATTAATATCTTTGCTTACAATACCTACAACATGCCAAAAAGATCTAAACCATGGCTACTTTCTTTTAATGATAA